CGAGGCATCGAGGGGTAGTTCAGGTCATCCTTAGCAGCAAGGCGAGCAGACTAGCATTGTTTCCTCAGGTAGTTGTTCTGACAGCTGCAGTGTAGCCGCGCTGAATCAACTGCGGGCGCTGTTTGGCTTGGAGGGAGCATTTTGTGTTAAACGTTAATTCCTCTTTTTAGTTGTTAAACAACAGGTCTCAGTTGGGAGGAACCTGTAAAACCCTGTAAAGCTGGGAAACGGTACAACTGAACCACTTTATTCACAGGGAATTTACAGGCCTTCACAAGGTGGCCTTACAAGCTCATCTGATTATTCTACGAAGCCTCCCAACAAGCCGAACTGCGCCACAGTTGGGTGCTGGTTCAAATGTCGCGCACGTGACACCATTTGCGTCACCTTGCCCAACTAGGATATACCGAACTACACCCACATTGCACCCATTCAATGCGGAAAGTCAAAAGAAGAATATAGAAACATTCCAACACTCGCCTTATTTAGAGACATGCTGCATTCAGTCTGCTCTGTATTGATCGGAGCGAACAAGCTCTGTTTGATGGCTACCTATAAAGGGTGAATCAACTTCTAATAAGTCTAATTTGAACCATGGAAATGCGCCTCACATGAATCAAAGGTTTTGACATCAGGATGATTTGGAATCCTCGTTGAAGACGCTGGCAAATAAGCTGCTCGAACACGTGCTTTGATAGTTGATTAATATCCATTTTCGCACGTGAACCCTGAGATGAAAATTACAGGGAGAATGCAATCACGCACAACAAATAAAAACTGAATAAGAACCCATCAAAAAATAACGCAGACAGCATGCATAAGCAACCAAGGAAAGCAACAGGCAAATCGGCAGAATGCGCGACCATAGATCTTATGGGAATCGATTAATCCCTTACACTGGCGTTTTCTGAATGTACGCTAGTAAGGGGAAGCATAGTTCATTAGCGAGCAGAGCCAATCGATTCCTCTCTAATCCTTGATAAGGCATTCACCTGTTTCGCGCTTTTTCTGAAGTCGTGGAGCCCCCACATCCACCAACTTCAGACGAGGTCTAAAAAACTGATGAGGGCGCGGCTAAATGGAGGGCTGCGCGTTCCCGATGAGGCGAATGGACCAACCAGGAAATGATCGCGATGTTTCAAATGCGAACTAACGAAACGAAAAGTGGGAGACGGTCTTTAGGCACCACGCGATGTCACGTGCGCAGGCAATCTGCGAACACCACGGGCTTGCAATGGAGCGCACGCTCGCGATAAACTCATTGCGTTATTGAATTAGGTTATGTTCGCTTCACAAGAATGCTGAGTTGTGGGCAAAAGTCGTGCCCCAGGCGGGAGTCGAACCCGCACCTCACGCTTTCCGGGCGCTATCCGTTACGCCACCAGGGCCGCTTTTACCCTCTCAGCTTAACGGCTTATGCCGTAACCTTACAGCACTCACACGTTTAACTTGGTGAGCCGGTCAGCCGTAATCGTTAGATATCGGCATGGAACCACAAGCCGTTAAGCTGAGAGGGTAAAAGCGTCCCTGGTGGCGCTAAACGGGATAAGCGGGACTCTCCCAGAAAAGCGTGAGGTTGCGGGTATCGAACTCCCGCTGGGGGCACGACTTTTATGCCCCACCTACTCAGATTTCTTGCCGAATAGCATTCGGAAAGAGCGTACTTGCGGCTTTAAATCAGCAGTTATCGTTAATAAACCTAGCTCAAAACATATTCGCTTCGGTTTTTCAGCCACGCTCTTCCTCTGGTAGGACTTGAATTGTCTTTACCATTAAGTTTTGTTTCATCTGCATAACTAGAGTGATCACACGAAATTATGGCGCAGAGAACGCTGTACAGATTCTGTTAGCGAGCTAGTTTCACAATGGTTTCTGGACAATACAGTCTCAGAGTCTGTACTTATTGTCGTTTTGTTGAGGTGCGACGTGAGAGCAGAACATAGCGGCGAAATGTCAACCGTTCACAATACACAAACCGAACGCGACCGTGCGCGCTTTCGCTAACCATACAATATTGCAACTGTCCGGGGCCGCGCGATGCCGCGTAGGTCCTGTCATCAATATAGACACCGGAAAAGCATATGTATAAGCACGAGCTGCCCTAAAACCAAAAGCTGGCTCAGGCAAGCCGTACATCAGTTCTCAAAGACATAACCAGCACTCAGACAACGCCACTTCGCCATGCCCCACAAACACAATAAAGAGGCGATTGCTAACAAAAGAAAAAGGGAGGAGTGATGAAAGCAAACACCATTGAGCTCACGTGTTCTTGTACAACAGAAATTTGATGTTCAGTATATAGATAGTCACTAATAAGAGTGAGCCGATCAGGAAAATAGTCGGTTGTGATCGGAAGCAAAGCAGATCTGGAAGAGTTCTCTAAATCTATTTGACAAAGCTAAAAAAACATGGAATCATGAAAGCCTGAAAAATAGTGACAAAAAATTATGCAAGCTAACCTAACGAGTGACTTCCAATCCATGCCTATTTCCATGTCAGGATTCCATTTCTCTTCTCCCGTTGATCCCCAGGCCCACACACGTGTTTGTTCCTTCTTCGCTTCTCCCACTCTTCGTACAGGGGTGAAGTCGTCGTTCTGAAACCGCATTCATAACTAGTACTAGAGTACTTTTTAAGCCAAGCTCTAATTCACTACCAGCCCTAGTTCACTACGAAGCAAACAAAGCATATGACACTGTGAGGCGCAGTTCGGCTAGAAGGGGAAACCG